TCACTTAACATAAGACTTTTATTCGAAAATAAATGAGGAAACAAATGTTTCATATAAGTAAAATTTGGATGACCCAATTGAAAACACAGTAACATTATTTATTTTTCAACAGAAATGATAGACAGACACATAAAAGAGCCAATATTATTCATTAGTAAATAAGAAATTAAAAGATTGTAAAGGCTATTTGAGACCCTAGCACTACCAATCCTCCTCCCAGACTTCAAATCCTTAAAAAACACAAGCATTTTTTGAGAAATTAACACTACATGGCAGGTAGGTAGTTAGCTTACAAATAGAAACTAAATTATAGGTTAACTTCATAATATAAAAAACATCATGCAAAAAGATTGTAGTTGATAGGCAAATAGTTCCTTTGTCAGCCACTATAGAAAAAGTTTCATCTGCCAATTAAACTTTTTGTTGTCTTGAACTAGGTGAATAAGACAGAAAAAAATAGGAATTACTGGTCATATAATCGGTAGCTCCGGAATCAACAATCAATTGCTCACCTGAATTTAGTATACTTGCAACAGAGGATTCTGAAATATCTTACTTTGCCATGAGAGAAGTATTTGTAGCAGAATTACTTCTAACAAAGGTAGAAGAATTGGAAAGAAGACTACATATTTGTTTAACTTGTGCTTTTGTGAAATTAACAACTTTTGCTTTGTCAGTCGATGGTGTGGCCCTTTTATTTTTTAACCAATTTGGTCTAAAATTCTCAGGCTTTCCATGAATCAGCCAACAAGTCTTCCTTGTGTAATATGCTTTGTTGCAGTAATCACATCAGGCATGTTTTCTTGAGGAATTTTGTGATCGATTGGAAGGAGGACGGTTCACAGCAAGAGTAGAGACATCCACTTGGAGAGTCATGGTGTCACCAAGCATAACTCGACAACGATGATCTTCACGACGAACCTCTGCAAAGATTTCATCTATGGACGGTAAAGGTCGCACACCCAAGAGATGGCCACATATATCATCCAACTCTTTCTTTAAATTAGCCAAAAGATCATATATATGATCTTTTTTAGATTAGTTTCTTAAAAATGTGAGCATCAACAAGATCTTTCTAGGGAGCCGAATGAAACATGTCAACTGCTTGCCACAATTTTCGCAATCTGCTATAGTATTGAGTTACATCCATATCATCCTGACGAAGGTTGTGTACACGATTTCGCAATTCAAACAATTGTGGTGAATTTTCCAAATCGAAATAGGCAAGAGCAATGGCATCCCAGATCTCTTTTGTCATGGAATGAAAAAATAGGTTTCACCTACCTCATCCTCTATAGAATGAATTAACCACGCCAAGACTAAGGAATTGTTAGCATCCTATAATGCATATGGGGGATCATCAACATCCGGACAAGGAGAGGAACCGTCTATGAAGGCGATTTTGCATTTTTCCCTTATCACCAAAGTTGTCGAATGAGACCATTGCAAGAAATTCTTCCCGTTTAATTTTTGAGTGGTGATCTGTAAATTATGATAAGTATTTTCTACAATAACAGCAGGAACAATTGTGGAAACAGATTTAGAAGCTCCAGATTGAGTCTATAAATTATTTTTGCTTATCCCCGATATGGTTCTCTCAACTTACTGATTCCCTTTTTTTTTTCTTGTTCTGATATCATAAAATAGATTAGCAGGAGAAAACCTTTTGTTTATACTGTATTGATTTGAATAATCTCTCTATTGTAAAAAGAATAATGTACAGTGGCATTATATAGTCGAGTAAGAGAAATTTACAAACTCTAATCAATGGAATTCTGTCATCCTAATTTAATTATTTTTAACATAGAAGATTTACAAGATCTTACAAAATATTCTTACATCCTAAAAATATAATCATTATAGAATAAATAATTAAAAATATTACAGAATATTCCTACATCCTAATAATACAATCAATCATATAGAATAAATAATTAATGGACTTTTTCACAGTTTTAAGCATTAGGTTGAGTCTATGGTCTTACTGCAAC